TTGTTGAGTCCCTGGTTTTGGTTCTTTTGGATATATACCTAGGAGTGGAACTGCTGGGTTATATGGTAATTCTATGCTTAACTCTTTGAGTAACTGCCAAACCGTTTTTCACAGTAGCTGCACCATTTTACATTCCCCCTAGCAGTGCCCAAGGGTTCCAGTTTCTTTACATCCTCACCAACACTGGTTATTTTTTTTTCTTTTCTTTTTTCCTGTTATTATAGCCATCCTAGTGGGTGTGAACGTGCTGTCTTTTGAAAACGTGATTTTTCAGGAAGTTAACAAGTAATAGACTGATCTTCTGTAGGTATTAGATGCTAAGTATGATCCAGGGTTTGTTAAAAAAAAAAAGTTTAAGGAGATTTGTTTTTCCCTTGGGCTCAGAAACCAGTCTAATTGAAATGTAAATAGCAAATTTATTTTATGTTTATATCAGGTACGACCAAAACTGCCACTTCTGAAGATTTTGCAGGCAGCAGGTGCACAAGGTGAAATGTTCACTGTTAAAGAGGTAAGCCATCAAAGAAAATTCTCAGCTTAAAGAAAAGCTGAGAAGTATAATAGAAGCCTATGAATGTATAGTTCTGAAATCAGGCCTAAGAAAGGAAGTTCTATTCCTGTGGTACTGGAGAGGCAACTTTTGTTGTATTTTAAAGACCATCAAGGGACTTCCTTGGCGGTCCAATAGTTAGGACTCCCTGCTTCCACTGCAGGGGGCATGGGTTCGATTCCTGGTTGGGGAACTAAGATCCAGCAAGCCGCATGGTGTGGCCCAAAAAAAAAAAAAAAAAAAAAAAGACACTGTCTATGATTTACAAGATGTGCTGTAAGGCAGGAATTAAATGCAGTAGTTTTTCATTATAAATCTGTCAGATACTCTTTTGAGCACTGTGAGTGCTCATGTTATTTAAACATGCATTTAAATAACTTATTTAGTTTCTAAAGTTTTCTTTTAACACAGAAACAAATTGAATTCTTTAAGTGGAAAAGACCCAGTATTAAAATGTTAATCTCTTTGAACTGCTTGGATTTAGTAGGGTGAAGATTGAACCCTTCTTAAACAGAGGAAACAGAATTCTCAAGCTTCTTTTTGACTTTTCATAAAAGCTGTTAGCAATGCTATGCTCCTGAGTCATTCTACCTCTCAAGGAAACAAATCTGGAGGCATTTCAGATTTTCTTGAATACTCATATTTCTTTTATCATTTTAAATTAAGTTTGTCATTTTGGACTTTGTATCTAAAATTCTGGTAAGACTTTTTTCCAAACTGTTATTAAGTGTGGCTTTCTATATCAATAAAGTTGTTATAATGCATTATGCTATCTCCTTCAGTAGCATGGCAGAGTTTGCCTGAGTTAAGACAGAGTTAATTACATATGTTTTATGGGGGAAATGTTGGACAGAGTCAGTTTACACAGTAAGCTCTTTATTATGAATCTTGACACTACCTGGTGCATAAAGAGGAATTTCCTAGTTTTTTATTTTTAAATATTGGTTATCAGTGTGTGCATTGAGGCAGTATGGTATAATGAGAATAGTAGCATATAGAAATTCAGAGTAGCGTTTTTGAAGATCTTGTTTTGTATACTTGTAGTGGATTTATTTTTTTCTGGAAGTTGGACAGACATAAATATAAAACTTCCAGGACATCCCCGGTGGTCCAATGGTTAAGACTCCACGCTCTCATTGCAGGGGGCACAGGTTCAATCTCGGTTGAGGAGCTAAGATCCCGCATGCCGCATGGCATGGCCAAAAACAAACAAACAAACCTTCCTCCTTTTTCTTAACAGTAGATGTTCTTTCTCATCTTATTTTTCTCTAGATATTTGATTAGATATGAGAGCTCTTTTAATATTGGGACACGTTGCCTGGGATGGATGGGAGCCTAAGAGCATCATTGCTTCAATATAATGGAAACAGTATTAAGAAAATTTTTGTGCAAATATCTTATAATTCTTGGGAAGTCAGGGCCTAAAGATAAAGATAGCTACTTTGGTCCGTTTGTGATCTGTGATAAAATTATTACTATCTTTAAGTGAACTTAACTATTAAGCAATTAAAAAAAAATCTATCACCTGGAGGAAAATCTATCACATTAGGAAAATTGGATAACTTAAAAATTTTGAATCAAGAACTTGTGTGTGTTCCCTCCCATTTTGTGAACTCTGTGAAAAAGGTCAGGTAGACTAAATTTTTATTTGATAAACACTTAAATTCTGTTTTGTGCACTTATAGTGCTAATGGCTTATTACCATTGTACTTCATTTGCAAAAAAGACTTAAGTGAACATACATCAAAGCCTATAGTAGTTATGTGCCCCTGGACTTGGAAAATAGTTTTATGATCCAGGCACATTTAAAGTTTGCTACTTCTAGTAATAGAACAGACCCTTTACTTGGACTGGTGAGAACATTAAGGGCATACTAAGTAAATTCACCACTTTTTCTCATTATCAGACTGGTACATTTTTATTCTAAAAAGTAAGGGTCTGATAGTGTCCAGAATGATAATAAGTAGATGAACCAAGTAATTGGGGTCAACTGTCCTTTTGTAGGACCCCTTACACAAGCACTGACAGTCATGTTCATTATATGTTACCTCTTTCTCTAGCAAACTAACTTACCTTATCTCCTTATTTAATTTGTGTTTTGGGCAGCAGCTGGACAGATCTCTTCATAGTATGTTATTCCCATGTAGGTCATGCACTATCTAGGCCAGTATATAATGGTGAAGCAGCTTTATGATCAGCAGGAGCAGCATATGGTATATTGTGGTGGAGATCTTCTGGGAGAGCTACTAGGTCGTCAGAGCTTCTCTGTGAAAGATCCAAGGTAAAAAGAGTGAGGGTTTGTTTATCTCTTCAGGGTGCTTATACCTAACCACTTAATCTCCATAGGTTATTAATGGTTATTTAATCTTTTAGTCCACAAAATATTTGTTGGGCCTACATATATCAGGTGATTGCGAGGCACTGAGAACATAGTAGTGAGCAGCACAGTGTCTAATTTTATGGAGCTTAAAGAGTAGAGTGAGACAGTAGACACTCTTCCCCATCTTAATCGAATTATCACATCAATACACGGTAAAATTATATTATGATAAGTGTTACATAAAAGAGGTACATGAGGCTGTGTTGGAGGATGGGATTTAGGGTCTTAGGGGTGGAAGAAAGGTTCCTTGAGGAAGTAATATTTGAGTTGAGAGCTGAAGGATAATTAGTCAGTTAGAGGGAGCTGGTTGAAGGAGAGCTTCTGGCAGATTGAACATCATGTGTAAAGACCTAGGTAGGAGGGAGATTGATGTGGCAAGATTAGAATTTTGTGAAACAGTTGTTACAGAGAGAGGAAGAGTGAGCTGATGAGAGAAATGTAGAATTGCTGGGCAGTTTGAGGTTAACGATGGACTTCATAAGAATCATATTAGAGCTATTCTGACCTGTTGCATGGTATTCTCCAGCTGCACAGGGTGTATGGTTATTAACTTACACAGTCAAAAGCTAATTAGTAGTTGAGAAGTCATTATTCTCATTCTCTCTATAGTTTTGTGATGACTGTTTCTTCTAAGACTCCCACCTCCATTCCCCAATAAAATGTAAAACTTAATTCTTAAAAGGAAGTAGTCTTGAAGGAAATCTCCCCACTTGGGTTACTGTTAGCTTATGAAATAAAACGTAAATTAGTTCTTTTAAATGGTTGCAGAGTAACACAAGGGCTTGGGTATTAACATGTTGATGCTTAAATAATTTAATAAAGTCTATTCTGGGGAAAAAATTCTGCCTCTTCATATGTTATAGAGAATGTTGGGAGATGCCATGTTAATGGAAAACCATGGGATTAATTTTTAATTTTATCTCTTTGACAGCCCTCTCTATGATATGCTAAGAAAGAATCTTGTCACTTTATCTACTGCTACTACAGGTATGTCTCATTATATTTCTTCAGTCTTTATCACAATTTTGAGTTCAGGGGGGCAAATCATGGGAGAACAAAGAGGATCAAAATTGAAATTGAATGCTGTCTTGGCATGACTGGGAGGGATACCTGTCACACAGAATGTTACTACTGTGTTATTTGACTATTCATTGTGAAAAATTTCAAATATAGTGAAAATAGAGATTAGTATAATTAATGCCCACCTCTTAGATGTAGTAATTGTTAATGTTTTGCCATATTTGCTTCATCTACACAGGCTTTTAAAAAATCTCTAACAGAGAAGGACTTTTTTCCTTCAGACACAACTACAGTGCCATTATTACACCCAACAAAATTAATCATAATAAACAAAATAAACAGTAACTCCATAATACTATCCAATAGCCAGTTCATGCATGGTTAACCCATTATTTCAGAAATGTCTTTTTACATTTGGCTTATTCAAATCAGGATCCAAACAAAGTCCACACTTTGCCTTTGACTGATATGTCTGTTCAGTATTTTTAATCTATAAAACTTAACCCTCCTTTTGTTATGTCATTTGTTTGTTGAAGAAATAGATCATTTGTCTTGTAGAATTTCCCACATTCTAGTTTGCAGATTGTATCCTTGTGATGTTGTTTAACATGTTTCTCTGTCTCTTCTATTTTTGGTAAACAAACAGTGCTTGGATAGTTTCAAGGTTAAATGTTTTGTTGAGAAAGTTTCATAGTTGGTGCTTTATACATCTGTTGCATCACATCAGAGCCCTGTAAGGTCTACCTGTCCCTCTTTCAGTGATGTTAAGATTCTGTGGGCTTATGTGGTGTCACCCTGATCCATCTTATAAAGATCCCCCCAAGAACTTTTCACCGAAAGGTTTTAGCTTTCTGTTATTTCAACGCCAATTTGTCTAACCTTTTGCTTGATTTTATATCTTTTAAATACTGCCCTTTGAGTTTAGTTTATTAGTTATGTGCAGGAAACTGGCTGCTTTGGGGTCTGAAGTATGGTGTGTTAGAGATAAGTGAATAAACTGGATACAACTAAAATGTAACACTCTCACTCATTTCCAAATAGTGAAACTTTCTTCTTTCTCCATTCCTACATGAAGCCATTTTGTGAGTTTCAAATTAGATTTTAGGTAACGTTGTCCTTTGAAGAAAGCCCAAGTTTGTAATCCCTTTAGATAGGTTATTTTTCAATAGTTTACTGAAACAAATAGTTTGAAAAAAATCCATTCCTAATAAAGATTTACTCTTTAAAGTGAGAGCAAAGAGACTGCTCTCATATTGAAATGTGAGTTTGAACTTACAGTGAATTTTGAAGCCTCTTGGTTTCACTGAGCCATTTGCCGACTTCACCCAGCTGTAAATTTCTGTTTGAGAGGGAAGGCCTTGCAAATGATACAGCATTTTTTTGAAATTCAGTCACTTGTGAAATAGTATGGTTTTCCAGGGATAGTCACTACAGGCTTGAAATACACAGATAATTTTATATTTGCTTATCTATTCTTTCACTAAAATTTGCTTTCTGATTGATGTGTTCTCTGAATATCTAGAGTGGGTATAATTTTCACTTTTTCTCTCTCTCATTTTCTTTCTTGGACTTCCTCAGCAGAATTTAACATGCCATATATTAAAGTGAACATTTCTGTAGCAAACATTTCAAATTTATCCTCATAACAACCCTGTGAGGAAGGTCTGGAGATGAAGAAACTGAGGGCTCTTTTTTTTTTTTTTTTTTAATAGAATGAGTAACTTGTCCAAGATGAGATGCCACTGATAAGGGATAGAGCAGATATTTGTGACTGTCCAGTCCTTGCTCTTTCCTTTGTGCCACACATTGATGTCCCTTGCTAGTAACAGAATTTGCCTCAATTAATTTTTTTAACACATTTAAAAAATCTGAACATTAAATCTTTGAAACATTTTCTTTGTTCTTTAATTTATCACTTTGAAATAATTTCACTTACAAAAATGTTATGAAGGTATTAAAAAGAGTTGCATATACTCTTTACCCAGATTCCGCAAATGGTAACATCTTACATAACCGTAGTGCAGTGATCAAAACCAGGAAATTGTCCCAAAGTAATTTTGAGTGGTTGTCTGTTCTGGACTTGAACTTGCATTAGTGCTTGTGGTTGGCCATCTGCTGATCTTCATAAATTGGGTTGCATGTGTTTTATTTGAAAGGACAAATGAGAAAAGCACCTTCCATATCAACTATCTTATACCTTTGCAAATGAAATAAACCTTTTATTTTGACGATTGAAGAAGTGAAGGTGGTTCTTTATAAATCATTTCTCCCAATTTCCACATGTATTTTAATAAAATGAAATATATATGACAAATTTTGTATCTATTTTAAAATTTCCTTGCACATTATAGTTTTCTCCGATAATTTCTTTTTGCTTCAAATAGTTTTAACCTAAGGTAGTATATAGAACTAGAAATGACAGTAATCAAATTACTTTATTAAAGAAATGCTTCACTGCATTGTATATTAATCGATCTTGAAAGATTGCTGTGGTCAGAAAATGCTGGCTCTTGAAAGAAACTCTCAGTATCTCCATTTTATCTATAAAAATGCTTCTAGAAATAATGCTCTTTATAATTACAGTTTTGAAAGTGTTTGCTTTGTGCCAAACAGCTCAATTGTCAGACCAGTTGTAGGATCTGTATTCTTACTCTGGCAGTCTTTATTGGATGAGGATGGCATTTTCCATAAGTGTCTTATTTCTGGACCTGATAGTAGCTTATGAACCCAATCCATGATAGACTTAACTTGGGTGCATGTAGTTACAAATAGCCTCATATAATGAGTGATCCAGGTTATTAAATTTTCTGCATCTTTTTTTTCCTGTAGCTAAGTTTTCATCTTCTTTTCTGCTTGAAAAATTTTCAAGGCCTTGAAATACATTTTTCTCTATCTAAGAAATTCTCTCAGGTTATTCTTTCCTTTGCTTCTTTTTTATTGGCCTTGAGAAAAACTTTTTCTACTTCTTCCTTGTTAGGAAATGTTTATAGAAACTGGGAAAAATAAGACTGGTTGATTAAAAAAACTAATCTATATTCAGGGGATGGGAATTTAAACTGTGAAATCATCATTGACACTTAGAATGCATGAGGATGCTATTGTGTCATAAAGCAAGTGGGAAAAATCCCAGATTTTTAGATTTCATAATACTGTATAGCTTTAACACTTGAAAATAAAAATTAAATTAAAAAGCCAAATTTTTTTTCTTATTGTTAACAAGTTAGGCAAATTTGGAAACACACCTGTAGGAATAGATGATAAAATACTCTCCATTATTCCGTGCTTGGAATCACTTTCTGTATTGAATTTGAAAGCGTGCTATGGAAGAACATTTTTTAGTCATTTTTGATTTTTCTTCAGATTATATTTTGGTAATATATTTTGAATATAGCCTCTCTTGATCTATGCCATTTTTATTAGTTTTCATTTTTCCTTTCCTTTTGGATGAAAGCCTTGGCCGGTCAGAATCATCTTTAGGGACCAAACCTGGCTCCAGGGTTGTTTGCTGAGGTCCTTTTGGTGTGGAAAGAATGGTTATTACCAGGGAAGGTTTTCCTTTTGTTTTACTTGCTATCCAGATGCTGCTCAGACTCTCGCTCTCGCACAGGATCACAGTATGGATATTCCAAGTCAAGACCAACTGAAGGTAAAATCACCACACGGTGACTTCTTTTGTTGTACAGAGTGGCCCCTTCTCTGTACCTATGATCTTGGACTCCCAAGACCTTTCTCTGAATGCGGTAAGAATTTAACAAGAAAGGTTCTTGGGAGTTCACAGACTAGGGACAGAGTGAACCTTCTCTGTTCTGCCCATAACAGAGTTCCAATCTCTGAATCTTTCCTTGGGATGTAGCACTTCTGATCTTCAGTTCTTCCAGTTGCATTTTCTTAGGGTTTGTATGTGCCTGTGTGTGTGATGGTGTAGGTATGTAGGTGTCTGAGGAAATTGCTTTATTAAATTTTAACAAGCTTGTTGCAATTAAGTTCAGGTCAGGCCATTTCTTAAGCTTCCCCAAACCTGGGAAAACTTTATGATCATCTTGGTATACGGTTTTTTTTTCTGAATTATGCCTAATTTTGTGTAGGCTAGAGGCTTTATATTGATAGCCTGTTTTTAACAGTAGATTTTGGCCTTTTGTGCAGACGTTTTTCCCCACAGTGGGTTGAGGAGAGGTTGCCTTTATTTGATGACTGTTGTGAACTCCAGAGTTTTCCTTTCTTGTGCGTAACCCATTGTGTCGCACACTAACTGGTGAGCCAGAATGGAACTGCTACATCCCCTGGTCACAGTCATTTCTACTGCACTGAGAGACACCTTTCCCTTCTTTTCAGCAAAGTGTAGAGGAAAATTCCAATTCCAGGAAAATAACTGAAGAAGGCAATATTCCCTCACTGCCTACCTCACAGCGTAAATGCAGAAATTCTAGAGAAGGTAAGTTTTGGATTAAGGCTATGTAGACCTTTCTTTTTTTCTCTCTGTTTCTCTCTCTCTTTCTTATTTTTTGGTGGTGACTTTTATTTTTTATTAATGTTTATTTATTTATTTATTGGGTCTTAGTTGCAACACGCGGGATCTTTCATTGTGGCGCGTGGGCTCTTTGTTGCAGTGCACAGGCTTCTCTCTAGTTGTGGTGCACAGACTTAGTTGTGGCACGCAGGCTCTAGTTGTGGTGCACGAGCTCCAGAGTGCGGAGGATCAGTAGTTGTGGCGCACAGGCTCCAGAGCACGTGGGCTCTGTAGTTGTGGCACGTGGGCTCAGTAGTTGCGGCGCACGGGCTTAGTTGCCCCGCGGCATTTGGGATCTTAGTTCCCCCACCAGGGGTCGAACCGCCATTCCCTGCATTGCAGGGCAGATTCTTTTTTTTTTCTTTTTTTTTTTGCAATATGCGGGCCTCTCACTGTTGTGGCCTCTCCCGTTGCGGAGCACAGGCTCCGGACACGCAGGCTCAGCGGCCATGGCTCACGGGCCCAGCTGCTCCGCGGCACGTGGGATCTTCCCGGACCGGGGCACGAACCCGTGTCCCCTGCATCGGCAGGCAGACTCTCAACCACTGTGTCACCAGGGAACCCCTGCAAGGCAGATTCTTAACCACTGGACCACCAGGGAAGTCCCAGTGGTGACTTAGAAATGGCATCTATCCATATTAAGCACTAGCAGTAATTAAGACCATTATAGAGAACTCAAAAAATAATAATGCTGTCTCTTTGTATGTCGAGTAGTGGCGGCATATGTCATACTTATTTTTCATTCTTTTCCGAAAACCTTTTTTTTTTTTTTTTTACCCTAGTCACCACTGTTAACTTTGAAGAAGGTGGTAGTTCTTTTTTAGCAACATGTGATGACTGGATGGAGCAAGACCCTTCCTTTAGCTAGCATGCTAACAGAAGATAGCCACACATTTATCAGTTTGCCACCTGGTACCTCAGCTGCCTTGGCCTTTTTTTTTTTTTTTTTTTTTTAAATCACGTTGCTTACTTCTTATAATTGTGTTTATTTTTACTTGTTGACAGTTTGCTTTATTTATTTATTTATGGCTGTGTTGGGTCTTCGTTTCTGTGCGAGGGCTTTCTCTAGTTGTGGCAAGCGGGGGCCACTCTTCATCGCGGTGCGCAGGCCTCTCACTCTCGCGGCCTCTCTCGTTGCGGAGCACAGGCTCCAGACGCGCAGGCTCAGTAGTTGTGGCTCACAGGCCCAGTTGCTCCGTGGCATGTGGGATCTTCCCAGACCAGGGCTCGAACCCGTGTTCCCTGCATTAGCAGGCAGATTCTCAACCACTGCGCCACCAGGGAAGCCCTGCCTTGGCCTTTTAAATTTTGGCATCCCTGTTATACATTTGATCTGCTTAGAATTTTTATTTTTATTTGTCTGCTTGAGGCAAAGGCTAATTTTCATAGATTTTTTGAAGTTTGCAAAGATGGTAAAATATACTTAATATCTCACAGCCAAGAATGAGACATAAGAAGCCTAGTACCTCCTTTGCCCTTGGATGGTAGTCATTAGATCTTTGCCATTCATATTAGATATAGTATGGTCAGGTTAAGTGAGTTGATCAACATTTTGGAAGTTTTCCCCAAACCCTACTTTATAAAGCATTTCCTAAAACTTTTCCTGCAAAGATAATGTAAAATCATAAATTCCTCAAAGATATTTTATGGCACGATGGTTTCTAGTATAGGTACCTGACTCACACTTGCAAAATTGGCAGGTCAGACCTCTAGTAACATCCCAGAAAATTATGCTGCTGAAATTATTTTAAATGATTAAATTAAAATTTAATCTGTTTATCATGCTGGATTGTCTTCTTCAAATTGCATTTGAATATAAACTGAATTTTGGACTATCTAGTTTTGTTGGAGCTTATTCCAGTCTGCATGGTATTAAATGTGTAATTTTGTTTCTTTAAATACAGGTCCTGGCTTATTTTCTACTCAAAAGGCTGTTTAGAATATAAGAACAGCCAATTCAAAAGACTATGAAGTTTGTGATGTAAATTTTGAGAAGAAATAGCTTAGTATTTTCAGGGAGTTGTACATGTAGAAAGGACAGAATTTTTGTATGTGGAAAGAATGGCCTCTTTTCATTCCCTTCCCAAGAAGTTATAGAGCTTGAATAGTTGAAGATAACTTTGATGTGGCACCCTCTCAGGAATTAGGTTTCTCATAATTTCAGCAATGAGTAAGTAAAAGATAGTTGAAGTTTCCGTGAGCACAAGTATGCCTTTTAATAGGCAAGAACAACATAATTTGTAAGTAGAGAGGGTAGCCTTTTGTTTTGGCAGGGATCCATTTATTGCAGACATTTTTTCAACCGTATATGTCTTAGCACATTTAAACACCTTTGGTTGCCATTGGCATGCCTAGGGCATTGGGAAGAGGTAGAGGAGAGTAAGAAAGTAGGAAAAGAGTGAAGCACAACGAAAAAGATTGGACATGGGAAAGAAGGAAAAGAATTGCATGTGGTAGCAACAAACTTATGTTTGTAACTCCCTTGAATATCATCTAGATATAACGCGAGATCTTTTATTGAGAACATGTGGGCCCTTAATATGTTTGGGACTTGCAATATTTCTAGATTTTAGATATCTTAACTCCAAAAGAGCCTGTTGATCCAGAAAGGACATACGTATATATTTATTTGGACAGCCTAGAGTTCAGTGTTTCATAGTGGTTGTTACCTATTAAAACATATGAATTGTTGAGAAATGTCCGAAAATATGCGGTACCAGTGAGACTGCCTTGGCAACCTTGTGATTGCCCATTATGGTCTGTACCACCTTGTTTCTATCTCAAGGGTTGGGCCACTGTGCCATCATCATTTGCAGTCCCCTGAATCAAGCCATTGTCAGGTATCATGTACTGGAGCAAGTCATTCTTTAGTTATTACAGTGGTAGGGATGTTTAAATTGCCAATAAATGACCATTTAGATATCCTTTTATTGATAGAACAATGTCATTGTTTGGATGCTTTCAGAGTTTATATTCCTTGATGAATGATCTCTAGTGTCATTACTTGCTAATGAAGCCTAAAACGGGGGGAAGGAGATTTGGGCTCTGCCACTGAGACAGGTATTTGACTTCTGATTCTTTCTTACTGGGGAAGAGGAATTTCTTTTTACCTGTCTTACACAAGAGATTGTAAGTATTATAAAGAGAGTCTTGATTCTTAAGTGTTGTGTACATAGTTACCATCCTTTTCATTTGACTTTTGTAGATGAAGACTTGGTAGCAAATTTAACCCAAGATGAGACGTCAAGACTGGACCTCGGGTTTGAGGAGTGGGATGTAGCTGGCTTGCCTTGGTGGTTTTTAGGAAACTTGAGAAATAACTATACACCTAGAAGTAATGGCTCAACTGATTTACAGACAAATCAGGTGAATTTCACATCTGAAGAGGAACTTTTTTTTTCTTTTGAAAGAGTAACATTCTTGGTTACTCTTGAACCATACATTACAACCTCTAAGAATTCCCATTCAGTGCTATGACTTTTAAGTACCATCTCTATGCACGTGTTGCCCAAATCTGTATCTTCAGTGCTGACCTCTCTCCTCAGTGCCCAGCTTCCATATCCAGCTGCCTACTCAACACTTAGATGATCTGACATTTAACATGTTCAAAACAGAACTCTTGATTTTTTTTTTTTAAACCAACACTCCTATTCAGCGTTTCCTTTTTCATAAGTCTGCCTTCCACTCAGTTATTCCAGCCAAGTATCAAGGGATATCATTGATTTCTTTCTCTCTCATATACCACATTCAGGCTATCAACTCTTTTTCTAAAACATACCTGAAATCTAGCTATCCACTTTTTATTACTTTCACTGTCATAGCCTAATTCAGACTATCACCATTCTGCTCTTTTATATTCTCCATTGTACTTCTCACTTTGTAAAACTATTATTTTATTTTGTTTATGTGTTTGTTGTCTGTTTGACCCCATTGAAATACAGGTCCAGAGCTTTTGTATTATTGACCACTCTATTCTGTTGCCTAGATAGAAGCAGTAGGCAGTATCTGACACGTAATAGGCAATTAGTGAGTATTTGTTCAGTAAGTGAATGGACGTATAATAATGGCAAAATAATAAGTTGTCTCTTATGAATATTGTAGAAAAAACACGTCATAAAATGTCCGTTGATGAATGTAGAAAGTTATATTTAAAGTTCTTTAAGAATTAAGAAAGAAGTGTTATATACCAACTTGACCTCAAAATAAAAAAAAAAGAGTTCAGAAAGAAGACAGAAGGTTTGAATTATCATCAGTATTTCTCATATTTCTTTGGTAAACATCATTGACTATTACAGGAAAGAATATGTCACAATTAATAGAAGTTTTCTAGGTCCTCAGAATGGATTGTAGGGGATAGATTCTATTTAGTTGAGCAACTACGAATTTTTAGCTTTTAAGCACTTTAGTGCTGTTTCTCTGGTGTTAATGCCTGATTTACTGTTAAAATAGAAAATTCCTTGCCAGGTGCTCTTATATCCACCCATTAGTTTATACGTAGTAGCCGCCAAGTAGCTATTTGTTGAATGAATACATCGTCTACATACCTGTAGAAGAAAGTCTAGGCGTTCTTTAGAGATGTGTGAGGACATTGAGTTTTGGCTTCATTTACTTGGGTTCAACATCTCTAATAAACCTCTGACTACAAAAACTCATGTTTGTTTTCTTTATATTAGGATATAGGTACTGCCATTGTTTCAGACACCACAGATGACCTGTGGTTTTTGAATGAGTCAGTATCAGAGCAGTTTGGTGTTGGAATAAAAGTTGAAGCTACTGATCCTGAACAAACAAGTGAAGAAGTAGGGAAGGTGAGAGACAAAAAGGTATGTTGTGGAAAAATTTCACATTGATTGGATTTACATGCATATAGTATAATCTTTTCAGATCTGGTGACCTGATCCTGTGCTGCTTTGTAGAACAAATGACTCATGTAATCCCCCCCCCACTTTTTTTTTTTTGGCGGTATGCGGGCCTCTCACTGTTGTGGCCTCTCCCGTTGCGGAGCACAGGCTCCGGACGCTCAGGCCCAGCGGCCATGGCTCACGGGCCCAGCCGCTCCGCGGCATGTGGGATCTTCCTGGACCGGGGCACGAACCCGTGTCCCCTGCATTGGCAGGCAGACTCTCAACCACTGCGCCACCAGGGAAGCCCTAATCCCCCCCCCCTTTTTTTTTAATACTTTTCCTATATCCAGTTTCAAGATTTACATTAAGTTAACCAAGGCTATCTTAAAAATAGGATAGGCCTTCATGGGTAAAGCTCCTAGTTTGTTAGAAGCAATAAGGCACCCTTTTCCTACTTGTCTAATCTCTCATTGTGGAGGTTTTTCTTCTGGAGACCTTGCTTTGCTAACAAGGCAAAGTTCTAAATGGCCACAAAATCCTGTAGGGCAAAAAAAATCTTTATTTCTTAGACGTCTCAGTAGTTTCCATACCTGCTTTATACCTAAATGGAACTAGACAGATGAGCTCTTCCTACATATTTTAGAGCTTAAATAGGAGGAAGGAAGAGAGTTAGAATTCATAGTACGCATGGTGTAAGCACACCAAGATGAAGAGTCATATAGGCACATGCTCAAGTCTCAAAAAGCATTGGGCAGCAGGTCTAGTGCTGACTCGGATGAGATTCACAGTAAGTATCCATTGAATAAATACTGCAAAAACCAGACCGAAATTGGGTCATTCTTTTAATTTAAAGGCTTTTCATAGTAATTTGGGTCCCTGAAGGGTATTCTGATATGTTTGTGGGAGGCAGATAGATGCTTGGTCTTTGTTGCGCTAGTTATTTTTTGGTAGCATTAGGAGGGAGTACAAGTGATTAGAATGGAGACAGAGGTGACATTGGAAACTTCTATAGAGAGGGATGGGACTTAAAATACTTGAACTTTTGTGAGAAAGTTGCTATACAGTGGTTCATAATTGTATCATAATTGGTTTCATTCCATTCATTGGATCACAAAACTGGGATTTTCATTTTTAGAATTTTAAATTTCAAAATTTAAAAGACGCTTCCCACATTTCTTGACTTTTTTTCCTGGTCCATGGGCATGTTTTTATAGGACAGTCAAGAGTATCACATAACTAGTTTTACTTTTTTTTTTGCTGTATGCGGGCCTCTCACTGCTGTGGCCTCTCCTGTTGCGGAGCACAGACTCCGGACGCGCAGGCTCAGCGGCCATGGCTCACGGGCCCAGCCGCTCCGCGGCATGTGGGATCTTCCCAGACCGGGGCACAAACCCGCGTCCCCTGCATCGGCAGGTGGACTCTCAACCACTGCGCCACCAGGGAAGCCCTAGTTTTACTTTTGAATATGAAAAGTAAAATGTACTTTGTTTTCATTCTTCACATCTAATTTTCTCATTTTATATGGTGCTTTTTACTTCCATTTTCTCATGTAATCCTGTTTTATTCTTGTGAATGCCTACATAGATTCTCAAGATAAAAAATTTCCCCATTTAATAATTTATACTCTGATATTGTTTATTTAAATGCATAAATTTGGGAACCCTATCTCTTCTGAATGCCAAAGATATTTGATAACCCCTCTGGGTGCCTTATTCTACTGAAATGTCAACTAGGTATGTACAGAATCATGTCTCATGTATAAGCTGTCTCCTTTTTAAGTGCTAGTGTTGGGAGAAGAATGTGAGTTTTAAACTGAAGCTCTTCTGTCTTTTTTGCTCTCAGGTAATGACCTCATCTAAAATAGGTAAACCTTGCTAATGAGATGTCTTTGCTTTCTCAGGTGATTGAAGTGGGAAAAAATGATGACCTTGAGGACTCTAAGTCCATAAGTGATGATACTGATATAGAAGTTACCTCTGAGGTATGAGTTTCTAGTAAAAGAGCTGTTTTACACCACCCACGTCTTCAGATGTTAATGTTCCAGCAGTTAACTTGTGTTGAAGAATGCCATATCCCCCATTTCTATCTCCTTTTCCTAGGTGTTAAGAGGTATTGGTTTCTTTACATCTTGTTAGATTTTTATTGGAATTTGAGAAGAGAAGGGGATGAGTTGATCTAATCCTCTCCCTTCCGTGAAAAAGGATGACTTAAATGCCTCTCTGTGTGCCTTTCTCCCTGCTTTCAAAACTCTTTGGACATTATGCAGTGGATACACAGTTATTCAAAATAGTCCTGTACTGCTTTTCCCACTAAACACCTCTCTGTAATCCCAAAGATAGGCCTATAAGCCATCTAAAATTCTTGGTCAAGTATAATACTTTCAGTGCTTTCTTAAATAGAAACAAATGGAAAATGGCTTAATTTCCACACAGGTTTATATTAATGGGGGGCTGATAATTGAATATTGAGTATTAAGCTGTTAGATAACAGGTGCGGATTTGTCACCAATTGGCAACTCACGTTTAGATTCAAACGTATACCTTGCTTCTCTCTTTTCATGCTAGTTCCCCATTTCCCTTTTAGTACTTCCTCAGCTAACTCACTGTGGGAAGAAGGGTGGTGGGGGAAGGATAAGGAGGGGATTTTACATTTTGCTGTTTAAGGATATAAAAATTTTAGGTTGTCTCTAGTGTTGATCCTTCCCCCTAGCTCACACCCCACCACTGCTAACCATTATGGTAATTCATTGCAAATTGTTTGTGCATAGCTAAGTAATAGGGTGAGATATATTGGTCCATTAAGTGTTTTTGACCACAATACAAGTAGCAGAGGTAAGTGTTTCCATCTTAATCAGACTTTTGAGGCTACTTGGGCCCAGAAAACCTATTAAGCAAATAGACTATATTTCATCAATTCAGAGGTGCCATGGAATTTAATAAGCCCTATTATTTTATGTACTACTAAAAAAGAAAAGTGATGCCAATTAGACTGTGACAAACCATCAATTATGAATTCCAGATCTTTGAAGTTCCTTTGGGTATTTGTATAGCATTTCAGATGAGATCTGAGGATCTTAAACTGGCAAGAATGTTCTGAGGCTCTCTGGAGAACATCCCAGTTTAACAAATGGTTGTGTCCCTGCCTCTCAGTATAGGCAGTTGAGTTATGACTTCTAAACTTGAAGTGCTTGGCCTTCGTTCTGAAAGTAGTCAAGTCAGCATGTGTCAAGTCATTGATCCTGTCAAAGCCAGGCAATTATCCACATTAAATACTCTTGACTTGTTCCAGGTAGCTACCTTTGAATTAAGAAAGGCATTTGAAATTCATTGAGCTCTGGTATCTCCTAATTTGAACATGGAGAAGTAGGAAAAAAATTACTTGGCATTCAAGGACAAGAACATTCATTTTTCAGAGAGTGTGATTTAGACATACAATTAGCTACCTAGGATCCTGAGAGCAGTGAGAGAGCATGAGTAAATGTAGTAGTTTTCAAATTTCATTTTGGCTTCCTTTTTGACAAATTTTATAACATTTCTTAATTAGTAGGAAAGAATGACAGAGTATTATCTTTTCTTCATTCTTTAGCCTCTTGCTCAATACAAGAGTAAGTTATACAAAGAAAAATGACCTAAAAAGAAGGCAGTGGGGAAAAACAAACAATGTAAATTCTACCCAGACTAAATAGAAAGCTAAAATGATTTAACTTTTTTAAAAATGATTAGCTACATTAAATTTTGGCTTGAAATGGCAATTATGTCACTATCATTGTAAAACTTCTCAAGACTTATTTACACGTAGCCATAGACTTTGTTCAAGTTCTAAGCTAGACCACTGGTGTGGAATGTCTGGATTCTTACTAGCTTAGTGTGAGATGATGAGAATTTGGCCTACTTTCCCTTTTTCTCAGCATCATGTTCTCCACTGAGTGAGTATTAATTGGCTGCACTTGTCTTTGTAGGATGAGTGGCAGTGTACTGAGTGCAAGAAATTTAACTCTCCAAGCAAGAGGTACTGTTTTCGTTGCTGGGCCTTGAGGAAGGATTGGTATTCAGATTGTTCTAAGTTAACCCATTCTCTCTCCACGTCTGATATCACTGCCATACCTGAAAAGCAAGAAAATGAAGGAATTGATGTTCCTGACTGCAGAAGAACCATATCAGCTCCAGTTGTTAGACCTAAAGATATATATGTAAAGGAAGAAAACTCCAAACTTTTTGGTCCCTGCAACTCAGTGGAATTCTTGGATTTGGCTCACAGTTCTGAAAGCCAAGAGACCATATCAAGCATGGGAGAACAATCAGATAACCTTTATGAACAGAGAACAGGTACAGAAAACATGGAGGATTGCCAGAATCTCTTGAAGCCATGTAGTCTATGTGAGAAAAGACCACGAGACGGGAACATAATTCATGGGAGGACAGGCCATCTTGTCACTTGTTTTCATTGTGCCAGAAGATTAAAGAAGGCTGGGGCTTCATGTCCTATTTGCAAGAAGGAGATTCAGTTGGTTATTAAGGTTTTTATAGCATAGGTGAATCAATGAGTTGCAGACAAATATTAACAGGGCCTGGTCATATGTCAAAATGTCAGTATTGAGCATCTCTACTCAGTGTGACCCATTTCATACTTTGATTTATTCATGGAAACATTTGTGCTCTAGGACATATTTTTGCTTCTAAACTTATATGGAATTTGATAATAAGTTCTTTCGAACTAGATTATGAATTTGGAGACACCATTAACATTAAAAGAGAAGTTAATCACTTCATTCTGTCTTCAAAGATGAGGATCTGGCACTTCTCTGGTGGTCCAGTGGTTAAGACTCTGCGCTCCCAATGCAGGGGGCCTGGTTTGATCCCTGGTGGGAGAACTAGATCCTGCATGCCACAGTGAAGATTCCCACCTGGTGCAGCCAAATAAATAAGTAAATATTTTTAAAAAAAGAAAGTTATTTAAAAAAAAAAAAGAAGATGAGGATCTGGGAGGGAGCAACTACCAGTACAAATAGAAATACATTCATTCTTTCATTTGTCAAATTACTTGAAGATTAATCATTTCTTTAGTTAATTTTATTCCTTACTCTTCTTTTCTGTTAGGGAATGTTCTTAGGCCTCAAAATCCAAGATGGCTATTAGAAAAATATTAAAGCTAACAATGAAAAAACAAGTAATTTATGTATAAAGTAGATCACTTTATGTTGCATTGTTCAGAGGAACCAATATTTTTGTAAAGTGCCTAGAACAGTGGTAGCAAACATTTTTGCTAATGTACCTCAAAAAGAATTTTGAAAAAGTATATATGACTTTTTGCGTACTTTAAAAATTGAGGTATAATTAACAAAGTGTTCCCTTCTAATAGGATGTTTCTGTCACCTCAGAATGTTCTCTTGTGCCACTTTCCAGGCAGTTCCTCCACCATTTCATGGCTCTCACCTTCGATTAGTTTTCCTTTTGCACATGTTTAATTCGACTTCTAAATTTTTTTTTTTTTTTTAACATCTTTATTGGGGTATAATTGCTTTACAATGGTGTGTTAGTTTCTGCTTTATAACAGAGTGAGTCAGTTATACATATATATATGTTCCCATATCTCTTCCCTCTTTTCGACTTCTAAATTTTTAAAATAAATTTAAGTACTTACAGAGGATGTATCATCCAGTATATTATAGATGTCCTTTAAAGATATTTTTGCCCAAACCTTGGATCTGTAGATTTAGCTGATTGAATTTATAGAAAAAGTCAGGTCATATAAACTGGCAAAGCCTATTCTCATTATAAAACTAATCAACCAAATCAGATTTCATTTTCAGTCAAAGTGTTTGACTTTATTTAATTCAGTTAAATGTATTATATACATCTATGGCACAACCTCTTCTCAACGACAGTTCTAAAAAAGATAAGGCACACAGTTTTTAACCAAAGCTCTCTTTGCTTTACTCTCTCCTCCTGTCTCTTGGGAGTCTGCTAGGGGTTTTTTGTCTTTGTTTGATGCCTCTGAGGTTTTTTACATTCTGAGGCAATGCCCCATAGTAAGATTTTAGATGGGTGAGAGGCAGCCTTTCTTCTGAAAATAGTATAGCAGTTGTGAAAAGGAAAGTAATTAAAGAGAGATGATAGCTCTGAAGAGGCCTTATCTGATCACGTAAATCTTAGGATAATACATATGGAAATTGAAGATCTTTAAGTTGTTTTCTTTACAGATATTCTAGTCTGCTTTCCCTGTGGAAAAAATCTTGGTGTATGCCTGGGTACCAGTATGAATGTAGTCATTTTGAAAACCAAGGCCCTAGAATTATCAATTTTAAGGCTCATAAGAATCACCTGTGTTGCTTGTTATACGCCCATCTCAACCCCCAGCCCCAAACACACACACGTGCTTACACTCACAGGAGTGCGTGCACACACCGACTCTTGGATCCCTGAGGTCTGAGCCAGGGATTTCCATTTGAACAAGTGTTTCTGGAAGCTGACGCAAGTTCACAAACCACACTTTTGGAAGCCCTGCTGTGCCTTAGAAGGAAGGGTGTTTTAAGGTACAGTAAGTAGAACAAGATCCCTTTGTTTAGCATTGTTTTTAATTTCTAGAGAAGTTTTGTTAAACTCATAGAACTTTAAAATTAGAATGCACTCTCTACTCAACCCCTTTTATTTTGCACATGAGGCTGAAAGGATAAATGACTTCTGAAAGTCACAGCTAGTGATAGAGCTATTACTAGAATCAAGTCTCTTGTAGTAAACCTTTAACCCATACTTGCTTCCTTCTCATTATTTGTTAAATGGTGGTGCTTATTGAATTTGTAACAACTAATAACCTTAAAATATTGTTGGATAATATGAGTTGCAGCCAAAATAGGACTTCAGAGAGAACAGAGACTTTTAACCCTTTCTCCCCAAAGAGAAAAGGCACAGTAAATGTCAAGCTCTCTTAAATAATCAGATAAGTTACACCTCCCGTTGGGAAGACAAGTAAAGATGGCAGAGGAACCTGAACTCTTTTCTCCAGTATTTTTTCTTCTTGGGGAATGAAACTCAGGTCTCTGGCTCTCTCCAGGCATTAGGGACAAGGGTTTTTTCCCCCCAATAAATAGAACCAGTTCTTCAAGTTCAGTGTTTTGTTAGACGACTATGGTAAATGCTCTAAATATTTAGAAAGTTAAATAATTTTCTACCCTAATTCCCCCCCCACCGTTACTCTCTTCATAATAGTTTGATAGCCCTCGATTTTGTTTTATTTTTGCCAGTTAATTGCTTTTGCAAGTGATAACTCAAAGAAGGAGCAGGGAGAGCTGGAATCTGCACTTGTACCCTCTGATTCCTTATAAAGTTGCAGTTTTTTAGAAAACTTAAATAAGAAAAAATTTAGAATTTTTATTTGTGTGTAGATGTTTGATGTTAATTTGGTGCATCCTTGCCTAGCATAGAATCCTCTTACGTTACTCTACTTAACTTTCTTTTCCCCTTGGGTCACCTGGGTTTTTACTGTCCCCATTAGCAGTAAGTACTTTACTTAGAAGATCTTAAGCTGCACATTTGATCTGAAAGTATTACAATAAATGTACACTTGGGTTTACTGTACTTCTATCAAGAGCCTTTTGAATGACTGAAATATTAAAGAGAAAGAAGTGTATCTGTAGAAAGAGGTAGGTAGTGTTTCTTGGTAGCTTATCTGAAATCTAAGGTGCTGCGTCTGCAGATTGTTTTCCGTCATCCAGGATCTTTATTAAATGTCATCTGGGAGCATAGCACAGCGAGTAGAACTCCTTGTTTCTTGGGGTAGGATGGGTCAGGGATCCTAAAAAGGGCCAAATAGAACTATCAGAGCAATTCTTTACCCGCAAGAATCTTTAAGCCATCTTCTTGATCTGTTTTTGATTTTGTTCTTTTTTTCAAAGTCACTGCGGTACAGATAAGCAAGACATGGTTTGTATTTGAAGACTTCATAGTTTACTGCTATGTGATGATGAAACTCTTGACTTCCAAACACTGTCATTTATTTTGTAGTTAGGGTGACTATGTACTCTGGTTTTCTGGAGACAGTGCCAGTTTACCCCTATTTTTCAGCATCCTATCCAGTTCATCTCTGTTGCTCCCCTTTCACTCTCAAATGTCTTCTTTTGGACATTAAATTATTATGGTCTTCCTAGTTATAGGTAAGCCATGCTTGGATTGAAATCTTAATTGTGAGGAAAGGATCTGTTAAAGTAGGTGTCAGTGGAGTTTATAGTTTCCGCTGCATCACACCATAGACTTGTGATTAATGAAATCATCCCATATTAGCATCAAATTTCTTATTTTAGTTATATAAATTAATATTTATGACCATGTTATCCCAGACAAAATGTTCAGAGCAGAAATGACAAATCCTTAGAAAAGCAGTGAATTTCTGGATTATAGCTAAAAATGTCTTCCGTCTCTTATTGTTAGCTCATTTTACTTGCACTGTAATTATAATATTTGGTATGCTTCTGTATTTAATACTTAAATCAGACTTTATAAAAATCGTAGATCAAGGCTTTAAACTGATAAGCATTTCTTCACAGTCCATCTATGGAATACCATAGGTTCCCAATCCTAGGCTTGAACAGTGGTCAGTGTCCAGCCAGGCCAGCTTCCAAACTGCCATGAAGTTGTATAATATAAGATTGAATCACTGCCAAGCATTTGAAATATTCAGTTGTGTTTTAATAATAATTTATGTATATTTAGATGTATGTAATGCTTTGTGGGGCGTTATTTTGTTTGTAAGAATTTATTTTTAAAGGTCAGGATCATTTGTAAACTTTTTTAATGTCAGTTCGATGCAATGTTGGCTCCTTTGACAGTCACTGAGAAATTAGTAAATGTTAAGATCTTGCGTTCTACAAAGCTATTGTAGTGTTACCTCTTGGTTTTCTTTAGAAAGGAGGAAACCTGTTAACCAGCTATTTGATTTTTTTCCTACAGAGAGTTATATGAACTTCTGAAAGTATATGATTTTAGATACTGTGAATCTGTTGTTTTCCATTTAGCCAGATATCTGCTTAAATTATTCAGGCCCATGTCCTAAAGAATTCATTTTGACAGATCTCCCATTCATGGGTGTACATGTGTGCACACACACTATCAAGACTGTTAAAGCTTTTGCTAAAAATGTCTGTGGACTGGCTGTGTTTACAATCTGTATTTCAAAGATAAAGGAACCTGCAAGCTCTCCCCTGTGCCAAAAGTAACATGTACAGTGTTTACAAATGTCTGAAATTTTGCACTGCCGTACGCTATGCCAAGATTACTTTGCTGGAATTTCCCAGATTTGTGATTAGCTGAGGAGGAATATAGAGGACCCTAAAGCTAAACTGGAAATGAGGATTATCTGAGGTAGTGGTTCAAGTAGCTCCCCAGACCTAATCTGAAGACAGTTTTCCAGATGGCCTTGAGATATCATTTTTGTTGACAGAGCTTTCCTTGTTTGCCATTGCTATATTCTTTCTTTAAGAGCCACAGATCTCTTCTCTCCTATGGGAGAATGTCCTATTAGCATTTTGAGATCTTTTAA